TAAGTAATGTATCTAGAAATATAAATTTTGCGGAAGAGATAGTTCCCGGAGTCATCAAAAATTAATTAAAGCTTAGTTGTACAAAAATTTATAAGAATGCAAATTATCTGAGTAAATGTAATTTTGTATTGCAGTCGGGAAGACATCTCTTATTACGCGGTTTATGTATGACAGCTTTGACAACACATACCAGGTATGTAATAATTTATTTATATCTTAATTAGTAATTTTTCTGTAATATAAATAAGTGATTTTTGTTGTATGCTTTGAACTTATATCATTTGCACCGTTTTTATTCCATGCACGTTGCACAGGTTGTGGAAAATTGTATAGTTTGTATGCATTATACTTTAAACGTTTAAATTTATAGATCTATCCATTAATATTTTTAATCTTTGATGTAAATATTTATTAAACATGAATGACTTTTTAATAAAACTCTAATCTAAATTTACAAAATTTGCATTTTAAATCTTTTTTAGAATTTTCTAAAATTCTTGTTTAAAATTTCATTAAGAATACATTTAGATTTGTTGAAAATAAATAAATTTTATGTAAGAGTTAACTCTTTGATAATTAATCAATGAGGTTCTTGTGTTATATATTCGTATAATTTGCAGCAGAAAAAAGCGTTGGCTATAAATTCTTATAAAATATAAATCTATATTGAATGATGATTAATGTGTTTGGCTATAAACTGTGATGTAATGGTTCCCAGGAATCTTTATCTAATGATACAGTTTTCTTAGATAAAAAAGAAACTGATGTCATTTAAATGTCATTTAAAGTATATTATATATTATTAATTAAGTTATTTAAGTCAAATTCTTTAAAATTACAGCTTGAGATTTATTAATATCTCACATTTTCTTTCTTTTTGCTTTTTATTTTCTGTTAGTTATTATCGACATAATAAATATCTTTTATCAAATAAAGTTTTCCATTGCATGAACATAATTTACAACGTGTCAGTGTGTGCTTTAATTCCTTCATTAATTTTTGCATTGTAATAAACTATATGTGTGAAATAAAATGCTTGATTTTTATTCACTCTGCTATTTCTTACCCTAAGAAATCTATTCAAATAGAAATCTATTCAATACTCCATGCACTTATTTATTTTTTATTGAAGTGTTTATTAATGGTTATAAAATGGTGATTGTTATACGTTATATACGCGCGCGGTATTCGTTATATGTTTTAGATAGTTTATTTACCATCTGCCTCTCGGTTTGCAAAGTTATTCGAATTGCTATTGTATTTGGATTTTTAATTAAGGAAATTGCATCTATTATTTAAATCACGTCGGTTTGTTATAATTGTTCTTTTTGCCATTTTATTTGTATTTTTCTTTTATATTATTTTATATAATTTTGAGCGTATAATTATGTATATTGTAAATGCAGAAAGAGTGCAAGAAAGTGCAGTTGGAACGAAAAGACCTAATGCTAGCAGGAGAGACAGTAGGGAACCAAGATATTGACTTTTTCTAATCGACAAAGATAAAAAGAAAGACGAAGAAATTGATAGGACATCGATAACTCGCTTCTCTTTCTCTTTTTCTATATATTTTATAACATCACATTATCCGTATGGCATTTTGTTAATAAATTATGTTATGTTTAATTACATTATAATAAATTATTAAATAGAGTAAGTATACAATAAAATATACATATAAATAATTGCTTTTTTTTTTACACTCAAGTAATACTGAGTCACTCAGTTTTGTGAGTATTTTATACTCAGATAAGATACGTCATTTTGTACTTACCTGCTTATTTTGGTGACAAAGCTATCATAACAATACATAATCTCATTTTTAATGTGAGTCTATTACATTCATTAAAGCACACGGTCTCGATTGTGGGTAAAAACTCAGTTGAATCTCACTAACAAGTGAGAATTATCTGACAATGAGTTTTGATGTAAATTGAAAGCAACTAATATAATAAAAGTATTTTTTAATGCTACTTTAAGTATATTTATAATCAGTGTCTGGTATCAATATTTAAAAATATTTTATACGTAAAAATATTTTTATACTAACCCTCCGTCATCCATATGGGGGTTTAAGCTCATATTATCATACATTTATGAAAATCTTGTTTGAAAAATATTACATATTGCACATTATTTAAATTAGTTTTATCTTTTTAACATCAACTTTAATACAATTCTAATTTTTTTGTCAACTTCTAAAAGTGATTTGTTTACCTTTTTTGGCATTATGATAAGAGATTGATTAATGTTTAATATCTTGATGTATCGTTATGTTGCAGGCCACGATAGGAATAGATTTCTTAAGCAAAACTATGTATCTTGAAGACAGAACTGTGAGACTACAACTGTGGGATACAGCGGGGCAAGAACGGTTCCGTTCTCTGATACCTAGTTATATCAGAGATTCTACTGTCGCGGTCGTTGTTTACGATATTACCAGTAAGCAATCGGTATATAAGGAATACGGTGTCCTAGAAAAGCTACATGCCAGTAGCTTCGAATTTAATATTGAAACATTCTCTAAATAACATGAATTTTAAAGTTTATTTTAAATTTACTTACATAATAGACATATTTTACATAACCTTATTTATAAATTTTTTAGCTTGAAGCTTTAAATCTGTTTGGAGATTTTAGATTTTTTATTTTTAATATTTCTTTAAAGAAACTTTATTTCTGCTTTTTATATATATATATATATATAAAATCTATACAAACAACATGTTTTACATGTTAAATCGATAATTTCATACCTTTTGTGAGTTTTAATAAATTTATATTATTTTATTAACGTAATTTGATATTGTAATAATAATGATAATATAATAATAATATAAATTTAATTGCGCTGGCATATGCTCTATTATTGGTACACCCTGATAAATAAACTATGAAACTAATTGTAAGATTGCTAATTGTAATATTTGTCAGACGCCAACTCGTTTCATCAAACATCTAAGTGGATAGATGATGTACGGACTGAAAGAGGAAGTGATGTGATAATTATGCTAGTGGGCAATAAAACTGATTTGAGTGATAAGAGACAAGTTTCAACGGAAGAGGGCGAACGGAAAGCGAAAGAACTAAATGTGATGTTTATCGAAACTAGTGCTAAGGCCGGCTATAACGTTAAACAGGTAATCGTCTTACCCCTTTTTTTCACGCTCGATGCAGAGAAATTTTTTCGACCTATGAAAGTGAACAAAATTACTGTTATTGTTAATTATTTTAGCTATTTAGAAGAGTAGCGGCGGCTCTGCCAGGTATGGATTCCACTGAAAATAAGCCTCCCGAAGACAGTATCCTTTTGCGTAAGATACTTACTGCACGCAATTTGCATGGCATATTTGCAGGAACGTTCGCGGCGACTTCTCTTATTTCACGTGCACATAATTCCCACTTCACCCGTTATTATCTATTCCTTCGATTCTGCACCATCTTTTAATATCGACTTTTTTCCTTCCGACTATTTTCCCTTCATTGTTTCCTCGAATTGTAATTTTTAAAATTTATTTTTATATGCTATTTTTCACGTTTTTATTTTATAATCAATTAATTATTAGTACTTTATTTCAGGATATCAAACGTGGAACTCTTTCCGCGTTTTAAATATTTTTAACATTTAAAAGAAAAATAGATATTAATTTTTATTAATAATTCAAATATTTAAATTTCTTGCCATTTGTTATATTTTTCGAGATTGTTCGATTCAGTCTATCCATTCTAATTTTTCGTTTTTGATTTCGGCACTGGATTTATTTGGCGATCCGTCGGATCTTCCATTTGTTTGCGTTATACTTTTGTGTTTTCCTTAATATGTTCTTTAATCCGTATAGTGCAAGAGGTAGTGCTCAAGGACACGCCAATCGAACTGAAAGCCTCGGAGAGCAGTTGTGCATGCTAAGTCGTCGTCGGCCTATATGGTAGCAGGGTATCGAATCGAATCGGACGGAGTCTTAAATCTCCGAATAGGGCCCAAACCGCCCCGGATCGTCTCTGGAGCGGTTTGGGAATCTTTTTCGAGAAACATGAACCGATTTTCTAGGTAAATTTCTAAGAGAGCTCCTTATCGATTTTTCAGTAAGCATTATAAACGAATAATACAGTATTAATATTATCGCATATATTATAATTAATAATATTAATATGTTATTATTTAACTGAGGACATTATAATTTTTTCGATAAAATCGAGTAATGTTCTTTTGGAAATTTTCTTAGGAAATATATGCACGTATAAGATTATTATACATAATATATTAATACAATAATTTATTTTAATTTGTTCTGTTTCAAGACTATTCGAAGAGAATGACTTACAGTTCTGTTTCTGTTCGATGCCCTGACTAGTAGACAAAACACACTGAGCTAAGTTAACTTATAAGTTAATGACATAGGATGTTAGGGTACTGATTGCATTCGGCCTGTGGTTTTCGTGAAATCGGAAAACTCATCGAAAGCCGTGCACTCAACAGCAACAATTTTTACTAAGATGAGAAAAAGTACAGTTTCACACAGTAGCTTAAGACTGCTTTTACACAATGACGTGTTTCGGTATATTACCCGATCGTAGAAAGAGCTATTAACCTTTTCGGTCTTGATAGAGCAATACGTTCTCAATTAATTATGGAGCATTTTAAACAAATTGCAACTTTCTAAATTAGTTAATCTGAATTCTTGTACACTAAAGCAGACTAAAAAATACAATAAATATTTTTATCTTTTATTATTATCACATAATCAAAATTACTTGAATTTGAAAATATTATTTAACCAATAAAAATAATTATTCGAATTAAAGTAATAATTTCAAAAATAATTATTTGAATTAAAGTAATAATTTCAAAATTTATCTTATTTAAGTTTTTATTAGACGATGGTAAATGATTAGGTGAGAAAAGTGTTTTATATATTTTTGAAGAATGCAGTATTTATTATGTATCAGAGCTGAAAGAGTTGGTATAGCCTTTATTACAGTATCAAAGTTTACCTAAGTTTATTTCGCTTGTCAATATCGGTTATTCAACATCGTACATTATGTTTTTTACGCGTACAATTAAACATTACATCGACAGTTGCTCAAATTGACATTAAACAGCTGATAGAAGTGAATCGTATTTTCCGTGTTCTTATTTATTTTGCACTTTTCAAGAACGAGATTAATTGTCGTACACATTTGCAATAAATAGAGAAAATAAGACAGCTGCATTTGCATTTACGATATTTAGCGACGATTACATCGATTTGGAGATTATGATTGAACGCGTTATATAAATGCAGTCCTTGAGATAATTAAATTAAAATTTTTAAATCAAGTTCTAATGACTAATGAATACATGTAGATTCTCGCTCTATTCGATGCTATAGAGAAAAAAATAAGTAATTGAAACTCAATATTGAAAGCTTAATTGACTCTAAATACATGGATATTAATTGACGCTGGACAGTTGATAAAAGACAAGAAAAATAGGAGGAATCGAGGGAAAAGACATTTAAAGGAAAATTTTGTATGGAATAAGTGGATAATTAATTAGCAGCTAACTATATCTCTTTTCTACAAGTAATTTAAGAGTAGAATAAATGAACACCTCTGTACAGATTCGGATTTATTTTATTGAATTAAATATTTTCTTTCTTTAAGCTATTATTTATACATTTTTTCTTTCCGGATTTATAAATTTGTTTATAAAAGAACAAAAACAACTGGTTTGTTTAAATATTGCACATATAATTTGAAATTTGGATAAAAAAGACTTCTGATTTCTAGTAAGATATCTATTTTAATATTGCATTTGTTGACAATTTGTCTGTTATTATAATATCTTAATTTATGTAAAAAAACTTAAACTATTGATAATATAATGAAATAGTGAAAAAATAATATTTTCTCTCGGCTATGATTTTTTCATTTTTTCCGTATGGTAATTTCTTGTTATTTTGCTATTATTTCTAAAGTATTGAGAACATAATTTATTTTTACTTATTTTTTCTTGCTTGACTTTCTTATTTTTCCTGTAATCGTTTTTTCTGAAATTAGGAAGAAGGTCATTAATAATTGGCGAGAAAAGTTACCAAAATTATATATTACAAATTTGTAAGAAAAGAACTTTGTATTAATAATTTTAATATTTTTGATAATTATATATGTGTAGAGCTTGTGCTAAATGATCTAAGAAAATATTTATTTTTTATATTGGATTTAATTAATGAACATATAAGCAAATTAATACTAAATTAATTTAAAATTTAATTTTGTAATCGGACTTTTTAGGTTTAATCGAATTTTTTATTAACTTTGTAATACATGTTTGTTATTTTGTTCCGCGTTCTGTAATATTTTTTTTCTACGAGATTTTCTGTTTTAGAAAACTCATAGCAAGTAATTCTAGAACATATTCTCCGTCCCGTTTTTGAAATTTTATACGCTTTTTCGATTGTCACCTTTCCTAGCTTGGATAAGCAGAAATTAAAGCGCGAGATTGTACACAATTAAATCAGAGCTGTATTCTCTTGAAGGATTATTGGTTAAAGCAAAATTAAAGGAAAAAAGTAAGAGATCATCGATTTGGCAGCGATAACTATCAGTATAATTGATAGATAAATACTTAGAAATTTGTAGATAATACTAGAAAAGTCATAGAAAAAAAAGTTTGTTTACTGCAGTATCATTAAGGATTGCATTGTACTTTATCTGGTTTGTAAGCATTCATTGTATTATCGGAAACATCAACACGCATTGATTTATAAGTTTAAGGCTACCAATCAAATGTTTATCAAGTGCAATAATGTATTTACTGACCAATAACATTGCCAAATTGCAAAAAGCGCATAAGTCTTTTTGATATTTAATTTTTCGAAAAAACATTTACCTCCTTTTGGTATTGATAAATAGGACTGTGCCGAACAAAAGATATATTGGAACGCGATTTTATTAGTTCTTTTTATTGCATATATGATTCAATTAGTTTCTTGAGAAACACCGAAGAGAGAAAGTGAGATAAAATTGCTACACGCCTTAACACACAAAAGCAGCTGTCGACTTGCAGAATCAATCACCGATGCAGAACGGCTCGGAGTCGGAGGGTGAGAGCGGCTGCATGTGCTAGGGCGATTTTGTCGTCTCGAAATCCGAAGAGAGAAAGAGAGCGAAAAGAGAGAGAAAGAGAGCGGGAAAATCGCAGTCAATCTCCCAACACGAATCATCATACACCATTGCAAGACGCTGCTGCTGGCTTCTTCTGATGTCGTTATGGGAACAGGGGCCTTCGTCGCCGATCTCGGGCCCTAAGTATCGTTTCAAGTGCTACTAGACGAACTTATGCGATATCTAATACTAGCTAACTTGCGTTGTTTTCGGACCGGCTTTTGTGCGAGAGAGTGGAGGACCGCACCATTCGGGATACTTCCATGTTTAAGCTTGAAACGATGATAGCTACGGAGTCCACGTAAAGTCTTCGACTATCAATTCGTTCGCGTCTAATTATGAATTTTCTAAACAATTTTTGCTGAAGCAAAATTATAAGTGACAAATTTTATATTTGTTAATGTATAAACCAATAATTATACAATTATTGGTCAATATTATTACTATATTTATGATTTTAATTTGATAAATTTAATTAACGATTTTACAAATATATATTATACATTATTTTTATCAATATGAAATTACAATTGCGGGACTTATAGATATTGAATATCTTCATACAAAATTATAGTAAAACTATAAAAAAGGATATTTTCTTTTCTGAATTAATTGACGTGAAAGGGTTAAAGAGGTAAATTATAGTGACGTTTCTTGACCAGTTTTTAAGCAATAATCTTTTGGGCTTCTAATAAATCCTACATATCACCATTCTTACAAGAGGCGTTCGCTAATCTTCGAGATCAACCCTTTACTTACAGTGATAACCCATAATTTTTTAAAATATATCTCTAATCGAAGTAAATTTCGAGATATAAAAAATATTAAAATATAAAATTTAATGTTTAATGTTTAATGTATTTGTGTTTTTATATTATTATAATTTACAAACAAAAGTAATATAAATTAAACTTATATACTAATAGGTTAATAATTTAGAAATTAATTTGATTTATAAGAAAATAGATAATATCACATTAGAATATTTAAAATAATCTAGATTTTTTCTAAGTTTTAATTATTTTATTAAACACTGGGCGTATTAATTGATTAATGATCACTATCGTCTGGCCTGTGTGTGCGATTAATGGAGTTCACTGCTACATCTTTCCAAGTTTAAGCACATATATTGTCTCTTCGTTCAGAGATCCTGTATAACGCGCACAAGGCACCGAAGCTTGCGGATGGATAGTTTCTTTTGTGTACTTAAAAAAAAAGAGAAGAAGAGAAATAAGGAAAAAAAGAACAGAGAAAGCACGACTGAAAGTAATCATTCTCGGTGAAGTTTATTAGGTCGCTACTAAGCTAATTACGATGAGTTTACGAGTTTCTCAATGACGGTACGTTTATCAAGGCAAGGTGTTCGTTCGAGGATATATTTCTAATGTACTACATATTACGAATCTTTATAGACGTCTTTCGATATCTCTTGATAATAAACGACTACTTGATAACGAGACTCAAGTCTGTAGATCGACGGTGGATACGCAAGTGTGCACAAACGACCAAACTCACGTGATCCTTTTTTTATTGCAAACCATTGCCTTCTGAATCCTTGTGATACGATGAATATATTCAACTGCAAGTCTCTCCACCACGGAGAAAGTATATAAAAGCCAGCTGAATCGTCTAGAAATGATCGAAAAGTTATTGATTCACGTTTTAAATTGCACAAATAATCAACAATTTATATTTAAATCATTAATAATTTAATTTGCAGCCAGATAAATTTATAAATCTGACGTATTATTAATTTGTAAATTCAAATTTAATTAATATGAATTATATAAATATATATAAATACTATGTAAATATACCTAAATTAGTTCTAACAAATTCCACTAATTTGAGAAGTTGAGTTAAAATGGAAATATATATAACGTTTGGCCGTTTGTACAAAAAGAAATGCCTATACGCTACGCCAAACGCAAACACCCGTCGAATGTTTCTCTAGAAGATGATTATCGGAGGATTATCGGAGAAATAAATCAATTATTATTAGCTGTGCTTGACGCGAAACCTCTACAAGTCCTAGCAAACATCGTTATCTCTTTGCACTCAAAAAGCGCGACAGAGCTTATCATTATTCCAAATTTAGAATTTGTTACGTTATTTTTATATTACTCTGTAATATATTTATTTTCGTTAAATTATGTTTAATGACATTCAATAAAATGGGAAAACAATAAAATAATTAGTACTCGATAGAATATAATTGATTAATATTATGTACCTGCTATTTAATACTTATAACTCTACAAAAATTTACCGTTTTGATCGTTATAAAAAAATTGTATATATGATATTTTTAAAAGCTTCAGTAACGAAGTTTTAAAAATCGAGGAACGAGTGCAAAGGGGTGGATGTGTGAAACTGTCTCTCTAGCCAGCCCCTATATAACGTGTCGTGTAGCGTTAATCTGACAGTGTTGCACAGCAATATTGAGTATGTACCGCGAGATGGTTTTTTCGAACACTATATTTCAAGGCAACGCGTTCGAGGGCGGATCTAGCAGATTTCATGATTTAACAAAGTTTGTGAAAACTCGGTTACTTTCACGCGAATGTATCTCGTAATCATCACTCATGTATATGTTAAATTTGTATGTCACTGTGATTATGATTTATTAGCACAAATATAATATAATGAGCCAATGTTGCCGAATCAATCAATTATATCAATATTATTACTGAAATTAATTATTGGTATTTATTGAAATTAAGCGTCAGTATATGTATAACTTATTTTTATATGCTGAATTAATTTACTTATTTACATTCAAAGTTTATCGAACTTGTCAAGTGTTATTGAATCTTATTAGGTTTATTGAATTTAAATTACAGAGTTAAATACGTTTGATTTATTAATTGAATTAATTAGTTTATTTAAATATTGTTTGATTTACGAAATATACTTCTAAATTAACTTACAGCCAAAAAGAATTAGTATTTTGAAATATCAAACTTATTTAGATTGCAAAAAATATTTTTAAATCCCACGAAATTTAAGAGTAGATTTCTCTCTTCTTTTTATTTTAGATCCGCTCTTAGAAATATACTACTTACTATTTTATTTATTTTTCTGTGTAGGGAAAGACATTTTGCCCGCGATAATCTAATACTGCAACAAAGGGAAAAAAAAATACAATCGCAAAAATTTATATTATAAATATATCTTCAAATTTATAAATTCATAAATTTATAAATATATAAAGAGTAATATATAAATTTATTACAAATGGGATACGAATGGCCTCTGCATTAAAGAGAACAGCAATGTATCCTAGCCGCGATTAGTAACTTTAGAATCGATGGATCCAAGATAATTGCGGGCAATGTCTTTCTCTTAATGTAATTGATAAGTAAACCGAAGTATGCCGATCTAGTCGAAATGATCGTCGCGTAGCGAATTTACAATGGCAATCACTTCAAATCCTGATTGATAGATACCTGATTGATAATTGAATGATCTGATTTAGTTATCAGATTTAGTTATCATGATTATCAGATATTACATTATATTATGCCTTTATTATTAAAATTTAACATTTGCCAATAGTATAATTTCCTGAAGTATTAAACTAAGAACTTGTGAAATTAACGAATTTTCAACATCTTATCAATAAGTATTGATATTGTTATTAGTTAACATTTAAAAAATATTGATATTTAATAAATATTTGTATAAATATTATAATTTAATACTAAATCCGGTGCTGAAAGGGATTTGATAACAACAATTAGGTTTAATTAAAGATAATTAAATTGGAATGATAATTGAAAACGAACGTTCCGGCTAGAGCGGAGCCTCAAGTGCATTTACGACTTATTATATATATTATATATATTACAAAGGTATATAAATATATAAATATGTCGAGACAAACTTCGTTATAGGAGTGATTATGTCAAGCGAGAGAAGGAGCGCTCCTTTCGCTATTGTTTCTTGTTTGCTGTACCGTAAGACAAAGTCGTAGTTGAGTAGCAATGGCGAAATTATCATTTCAGCTTCATGCTACATAGTGTAACGAATGCATACACAGATTGTACCGTATTGTAAACGATTAGAGGGAACAGGAGCGAGTTTTGCGCGGACAAAGGCGCTTTTGTCCGCATAACGAACCACGATCAGAGAGATGAGAATGTTGACAATTTTCTCTTCTTTATATTAGATTGTCTGTAATACTTGTAAAAATAAGCTATATGTTATTTTTACTAATTAACCGAAATGCATGAAAACGTGTAACGCTCAATTAGAAATTAATAATAATGATAATAACCGATTCATAATCGTAATTAGAGTCAGAATTCTTGTATTAATATTTATACAAGATCGACGCTATTTTACTTTATTATAATTTTAAACACTAATGTTTTATTTGTGACATTTGGATTTAAATCCAGATTTAATATTTTTATTTTAGTTTTATATATATCAAACACACATTTTTATAATAATCCTAAAAAATAATCTCTGTATTGGAATTTTGAGGAAAAGCGAGTCTAGGCATTCGCTTTAACTGCCATTGAAAGCGAGCTGAATTAAAGTGTCTCTGATCGTCGGGTTCGTTTGTCGAAGTAACGGAACCAACCCCATCTTTTTGTACCTTGTGTCTTAGATAGAGCCTCGTGTTAGTCCGAGTCGAGGCTCGCGAATGAAATTTTGCAAACTTGTCATAACATGTGTGTCGCGACTACTATATTTAAACCGTAGAGCTTCAACGAACGAGCGAATAAAGTTTTATGTTCACCAGAAAATCCTTGGAATTTTTAGATTTCTAAATTGTCTTCATTAAAATATCTGTACGACTTTCTGTGCAAAGTTATATAATTTAAGTGCCATTGAAAATTGATATAGATCAATATGTGCAATTTATTTTTGAGTGATCTCTTTTAATTTGCACGATCCACTTTTGATGACTTAAATGTAATTCGTACTATTTTAATCTTTTTCTGTAAACTGATAAAACTGATTTGATTTTTGGGAATAGGTTTGAATTAAACGATTGATAGTTTATTATATAGTTTATTGTAATGTCAATTATATACAAATTTAAAATTACGTTCAGTGCGCTTCCGACTACGCTGACATACCGTTTTTTTCTCTCGTCGATGTGCGGTATATATTATTACAATCGGAGCTATTCTCGAGCTCTTCGGTACCCTTCACTCGTTTTAACAGCGCGTCAGCGACAGACCTAAATTTAATTAATCTTTATTTACAGTCAATATCGCACATTTGAAAGTTCCTCCAACAGTCTGTCGCCGTTCAGATGTTCAAAAAATCTTCGTTAATCTTTTAAAAATAGGACAACTCTAAAAATTTAATCTTTTTTTCTTTCTTTTTATTACTTACTAGTCTTAAAGATGATACTAAACTGACGAATGATATGAGATTAGTGAAATTAGAAAAATTAAAACAAAGAATAATAGTGTCTAATGAAATCTTCATAAGCAATATTTTTTTGAAATAGTTTCCCACAAAGTAGTTTGCAATTAATACATTTTTATGCGAATGCCTGCCTCGCATATAATTCTTTTGGAAATACTTATATTTAAAACAACAAGGACTGATTAAATTTGCAGTTATCTTATTTTTTT